GGGCGGCGGGGTCCGGCGGCCAGCCATGGTTGTTAGCCCGGGCGCCCTGCTCCGCCTGGCCGGCTGAGCCCTCCCCGGCGCCGGGACTCGGGGCTGCAGCGCGTTAAGCGGGGTGTCCCCCGTCCCCGCGGGGCGCGGCGGCGGTTCGGCCCCAGCGCGCCCGAGCGGCGCCCCCCGGAGCGGCGCGGAGCGGAGCCGGGGGGCCCATGAGCGGCGATGGCAGCGGCTATCGCCAGCTCGTTGATCCGGCAGAAGCGGCAGGCGAGGGAGTCCAACAGCGACCGGGTGTCCGCCTCCAAGCGCCGCTCCAGCCCCAGCAAGGACGGGCGCTCCCTCTGCGAGAGGCACGTCCTAGGGGTCTTCAGCAAAGTGCGCTTCTGCAGCGGCAGGAAACGGCCGGTGAGGAGGAGACCGGGTGAGTACGGCGGAAAGGGGCCGTGGGGACCCGCCCCGCGGGGTGGGGCAGCCCCGGATCCGCCGGGGTGGGTGCCCCGGGGCTCCCCCCTGCACCGCCGGGTGCCGTCCGGGGACGGGAGTGCTGCTCCCTCTTCGACTTTCGCCTGGGTCCTGGCTGGTGGGATGGGTGGGAGCAGAGCAGCCCCAGCATCCATCCCTCCGCCGCTGTCCGAAGTGGGTCCTCTGGCAGGAGAAACCCTCGGCTTAACCCGAGTTTACTTAACCCAGAATTGTATTTTTCCGCCTCCCAGTAGGTATGCTTTTTAAAAAGTCTCCGCTTATTTTTCTGCATAGTGACAAGGAAATCGATAAACTAAGGATCAATTAGAATTGTGATCATTTGATAACTAGATCCATCAAGTGCTACTTCTTGCGCGGAGTTGCGTAGGGAATTTCATTAGCTCAGAAAGCTTTCTAGATGGCAGCGGCACGACTGTTGCACCTAACAGCGAGCTTGCAAGGACCTAGAAATGTATTTTAGGAGTCTCTTTTTCCTTTCTTTATCTTTTTGAGTGTGTGTGCTCTGAGCCTTGGCTCCTTGTAGAAAACTTCAGCCCTAGTGTACGTGTTGCTCACATTTCCACGATGCAGTCCCACCACCCGCAGTTTCAATTCTGAGCGATGCTTTGGGCTCCCAGCTCTCCTTGGTAGGCACGAGAACTACCTGGCAAGAATAGGCCCTCTGTGATTTCTCGGTAGAATTATTATTTGCATCTTCCTTTCTTTTTTCCCTGCTATAAATCACCGCTAAGGTAAGAAAACAATGATTTGTTTGAGAAGCTGTTGTGAACATGTACTTTTCTCGGGTGTCTATTAGTATCATGGTTAAAAAAGTGATACTAATTTCCTCAGCAATTTGGGATGTACCATCAACCTGTGTAATCCTCCCATGTTTTCCATATACGTTAATGTTTTGTTTGTTGATTGGTCTCTTCATGAAGCCCTTTCTCCACATCTGAAGTCTGTCAGTCATGACTCTACAGCAAGGTGTCAGAGCTAGCTGAGGGCTGCTCTTCTGGTCTGTAGATTGAGGTACGTGACCTGTACTCAAGTGAGGAATAAAAAGAAACATGGGGAAAGCCTCTCGCTGTAGAAGGCTGCTTACTGTTGTCAACAAAGGGGAAAGAATAATTACTTTGGGTTGCTGTCAGCACTCCCGATTCGCAGGCTGCGGGGCAGGGACTATATTTAGCTAACAAAATGCTTCAAGACTTGCAATGCATGGGTTAGGCTGTGAAAACCAGATTCATTAATGGTCTGTTTTAAAGCAGTTACCAAAAGAAGATGCAAAACATCTGACATACGGTATGGCTTGAAATATTCAAAGGGAAAAAGGTTGCCTCTTTTTGTTTTCCTCACGTTATGATGAGTGGTAGCTTGCTGGACTGTCCTATGTATTAGTCAACCAGTGAGCCCAGCCCAAGAGATGGCTCTTGCCCCCAAAGTGTGGTCATTCTGTCTCAGGAATCGCTCTTTGTAGGATCAAGAGTGGGACCTGGGAGTCTCACTGATGAATTTTTTTCCCGTTCCTCTTTCTTCCTCATCTCCATCTGCTATTGAATAAGGTCCCTCTAAGATTAACAGGGGTGGGAAATCTAGATCTGTTATTTAGATTTCAAAATGCTTTGTTGCATTAAACTTTGACTGTTTTTTATTGCATGGTGTGGTTGGTGAGTCTTTATTGGTCCTGCCATAGTGCTTCCAGCTGTACAGGTCCAATTCCATGACTTTTGGGCTCACTAAATGCCTGTGAAGAATTGATAAATTCTAAGAATTCCCTCAACTTGCATGGACTTTCATGCTGAGGAAGGTGTTCAATAACCTACAGACAAGAATGCTTTAAGGAGAACTTTTTATTGACTTAGAAAGATCAAAGCTACTCAGTGCTGTAAAAATAGAGTTGTTCAGTCTTTAGAACTGTCAGTCAATCACTTGTAACCAGTGCTGTATTCATTTTATAAAATTAAAGTAGAGGAATTACGTTGTTTTTTTTAAAAAAAGTGTCTTTTCCTAGGCTATAGATTGTGTCTGCTTTAGTTCCCTGTATCCATCTTTTAAATAGGGATTTGTTTTAGTGCTACATCCTGTTCCTGGACTCAGGTGTGCTGCTCAGAAGGCAGCGTGCCACTCAGTTTGCTGCTACTGGGATTGTTTATTCAGGGAGTGTATTGTGCCCAAATAGCTTATTCATTGCAGAGTCGCTCTTCTGCATAGAAAATGATATGCAAATGAATTGAAACTGGTTTAAAGAAATGTGCATACATTGTGCAGTGACCCACAAGCCCAGTGATTATGTGTACTTAATAATATGCTGGCTCAGTAGTTTGCAAGTCAGTGAAATGAACGTGAGAAATATCCATGTTCAGAAGGGGTACAATCCCATCTGGAAATGGTATGGTACTAGGGGAACTATCTTTACTTTTTTAATCATGACCTCATTTTATGGCTATGGGGAGTAACTGTCAAAATACTTCATGTTTACAGAGTGATTTTCATCTGTAGTACTCAACAAGCTCTACCAAAATGGGAGGATTCTTCCCATTTTACGGAAGGTGAGCCCAAGGCACGGAGCAGTTACCTGACACAGAGATCTCATTCCTGATGCTGGGTCCAGCACGCCAAGCTTTGGGCCCCCCACCACCAGCGAGGTTACAATGCGACTATGGTGGAGCTGTAGCAACTTGCACCATTACAGAAATACAGCTGTGATGGTGGTTCACATTCCCTTTGCTCTTTGCTTTTGTAAAAGCAATTGTGTGAGCTTACGTCAATTAAGTGTTTTGTTTTGTTTTGTTTTTTAATATGTGACTCAAACAGCACTGTAACTAAAATATTCAGTAAAGATGTTTGTGAGCGGAGTTACATTTTGCACTGGTTGGCACCTTCTACTTCATTTCGCAGCTCGTGTGAAGCGAGAGTGAAATACTTCAGCTCTCACACAAGAAGGGAGAATTTGCACCCAGTAGAAGTTCAGGCTCACTTGGCGGTGGGCATGAGTAGTCGAAGGTTTTGGCAAGCGATGGGGAAACCAGGTCTGTGCAGGGACATCTTGTATAATCAGAGCTATCAGCTCCTAGGGAAAACAGACTGCAGAAACATCTAATTTGTCAGTTGCAATAAGCACCATGTTGTAAAACGAGCACTTGTTTCATCTGCCTTTTCAACGGGCAAAGGCAGCTCTCTCTCATGCATGGTCTATGTTCTTTTATATCTTTTCCTTGTGCTTGGCTCTAAGATATGATTTCTCAGTTTAAGACAGGCCAAATAAGGACACTGAGAGCTGTGGACTAAGGTGAAAATTTGGACACATGGGATTAATCTCATTATTGTGAATTAATATTGACCACGGTTGTGCAGGTGCCAAGCAAAATATGTGTATGTTGAACAGCACCTGTACAATTATATGTATAAAGTACAGTTAGAAAAGATTAAATTATATATTTTGCTCTGACTGTAGTAGCTTGATAGGGGATTTAAAAGAAATTGCTATATGGCATGGCTTTTTGGTGCAGATTCCAGAGATGGATCCTTCATCAGGGAATGATAGAGACAAGAGGTGAATGCAGAAGACTAGACAAAGCAGCGCTCTCTACGTGATTTCTCTGCCAACAAATGGTTGAACCCAGTAGTTGCATCCCCGTTGCAGCTTCTTCATCCCTTCTTCAGCTGTTTTGTAGCAGGCTGGAAGCCCTGGGCTGGTGGGTCCAACTTGTCTGTGAAAACTGTGGCCATTGCTTCACCAACTGTCTTCTCAGGCAGAGCTCACCCCAGGGAGCTGGGGTGGAGTTGGCCTTCCATTGTGCCATGGCCACTGGGGGCTTGGCACAGAGGGAAGCAGGCTGGAGCATCAGGCACAGCATCTGTGGTGGTTGGTGGAAATTTTATCTGAGTGAAGCCTGCTGAGAGGGTGTCGTTACTTGGGGAAATAATATTTGGATTCAGGCAGCTTCGGGTCAAGCAGTGCCAGGCACTGGTGTAGCAGCATCTCCATCCCTTCAGGCATTGCTTCTCTAGATGAGTTTCCAGCTCAGAGTTCAGTCTCAAGCAGGTTTTACCCCAGCAAAAAGAAAAAAGAAAATTTGTGTTGTTGTTATTTCCTTATTTTTCTCTGTCTGATATATATTTTGTGCTCCTCCAGGGAAAGGATGTTTTTCCTTAAGGAGATCTAAAGGCTTGTTCCAAAGTGAAGGAAATGGCTCACACATATTAAAAAAAGCAGTAACTTAAAATATGTTTTCCCTTTGCAGTATTTCTCATTTTGAATAATAAATGGAGATTTGGAATTTAAAATATAAGTATGTAGATATTTTTGCAGCAGTATAAAGAAAATATAAGAGCAACTTTAGCTGAAGGACACAGAAGGACTTTGTTCATTCGGAGATTCATTTAAAACATTTGAGAAGTCTGTCATCTCTGCAAGCTGTTAAATTCCCTGAGTTAAATCCTAAAGTCCTTTCTGATTTCATGCAGGGTGAAAATTATGATTGAAGCTCATGGAAAAAACCACCTTTTTAGCTCCACATTAAACTCGTCGTAGTCCTTGCCTGCTTTTGTGGGGTGGTTCATCTCAGACCCGCTGTAATATCTGCCTAACCTGTGGAATTTGGCCCCTCTGTTGGCAGTGTGCTGATGCCAGCTGTGCTATCTCAGCACATAGCTGCTGTCTGCAGCAGGATTCAGGCTGTATCCCAGCACTGTTCCATAGTGTGTGTTTGCACACTTGGGTGTGTGCTCAGCCAAGGGAGGTCCATCCCATCCTTCTGCCCGCTCCTCTACAGAATTTGGTGCTGTGTCCCATCTCTGAGTGGCTGGGCGGAATGGAAATGCCTGGAAATCCTGGCATCACCCGGCCAGCAAGAAGCTCTTAGAAGTGCTAGCTGAGATGAGGGCATGTATGCCAAGTGGCCAGCCAAACATGAGCATCGATAATGTCAAGAGGAAGGGGCACAGCCTTGAGGG